GCCGCGCCCGGGGCCTCGGCCCACACCCGGCGCCGCCGCCCGCCGGCCGCCGCCCCCGCCCAGCCTCCTGCCGGCAAACTTTCTCCGCTCCGCCCGGCCGGGCAGGCGACGGGGCCGGCGCCCGGAGCCCCGAGAGCCCGCTGCAGCCGCCGGTGCCTCGGCGGGCGGGAGTTTCTAACCAAGTTTGCCCTCGTCGCCGGCCAGTCCTGTTCGCAGCGAGGGCGCGGGGACCGGGGTGTCCCCGGGCGCCAGAGGGGCAAGGCGGAGCCCTGGGCTGCGGGCTCGCTCCTCGCCGGCGGGGCACGGAGGACAAGGCGCGGAGCGGAGCAGCCCCGCCGCGGCGCCCGGGTGCCGCCTCCCCGCCCGCCCCGGGAGGAGGGACGGTCGCTGCGGTGCAGTGACGCTCCCCGCCCCCGTCCCGCGGCGCAGGCCCTCGGCTCCCTCCCCGGGTGAGCGCCACAGCCCCCGGCCGGGGCAGCCCCAGACAGCCGAGCCGGTTTCCGCGGCAACGCGGCGCTGCCGCGGCCTCCGCGGGGCAGGGCAGCGGCGGCGCGGAGGCGCGGAGGCGCGGCCCCCTCAGCGGCCGGCCCCGCGCGGGGGCTGCCCCGGCCTGCGGCGCTCCGGGAGCTTCCCTCGCGCAGCTGCGGCACCTCCGCGCCCCGGTGGGGCAACGCGTGCCAGCGGCGCTGGGACCCCAAACCAGCGTCGCCCGTCTCACAGCTGCGTCAAAGCACAATTACACCAGAGAAACTGATAACAAGTGCTGTTTTTAATGAAAAGTCCAAAGCAGGCTGCTCCCCCCAGTGAACGCTTTTATATTAATGCTTTTAAAAAAATAAATTAGTTCTTTGGCAGTAAATTGTGCAACTCTGACCACGTCATCACTTAACATTCTTGATAAATTCTTATTCTTCACCTTTTGCATTGTAAACCCAGGTTACACATCACTCATACAGCAGCAGCACAGATTTCCATACGGATAGTTGTCCTGATACATGCGGGTAGGCCTTCGATGCCTTTACCATTTAGGCTGACAAATGTGGATTGACTTGGGGGTTGAAGGGAGAGTGGTTTTTTCAAAACAAAAGTATGCTAATTACCTGATCCGTGTACAAATAAGCGCAGATAATCTTTAAAAAGTAAGAGAGCTCCTTTTGGGGTGGGTTAGTGATGCAAAATACATACAGGACAAGAATCATCACACAAAGCTAGATGCAGCATTTACTGATATATGTTATTCACTGGACTTCTAGACAGTGGCCTTTGCAATGGTTATATGAACACATCACACTCAGACCAGGAATCAAAAAACCTGAAAATATTTCACGAGGGCTTATCTGAGGAGGTGCAATGTTTTTTTATCCTTGTGAGATGCCCATGTGACCGAGTAAGTTTTGTTGATAAAAGATTAAAAGTAATTCCAGAAATCCTAAAGATTACATGATACTATATAGTATATTGCCCAGAATTTTATTAATTTTTTTCTATGACTGACAAGTACCTCAGCTTTCATCTAGCAAAAAATAAACATGGTCCCCTATGTGTTACTTCTCTGTCTTCCAGTTAGACCAAATCCTGTGCTCAGATAAACCAGTAAAACATTAAAGAATTAGAGCATCTCCATTAATTTCAAATGTAAAACAGAATTATTAGCAGGAAAATCTAATCCAATATACATATAAATAATGAAAGTGTTATGTAATAGAAAACTAAAACCATTTGGAATTTTCAAGGCATGATGATGAATTAAAATGAGAAACACTTTTTTGAACATCTCCTTTGCAAAATCTTTTTGAGCATCATTAGACAGCAAATATAATAAATAGCTGTTACTGAACCTAAGTTCTCTCAGAGTAGGTAAGGAACTAGCTCTACAAGAAGAAATAAAAAAAGTTTTAGACAATGCTCCCTCCTCAAATTTAGAATCCTGACGTGCAGGTTTCTGCTAATGGTAAGTATAAGGAAAATATACTCAATCCCAAACACAGTTAGGAAAATCCTTTCGCAAGTTCTTTCGCAGCCAAGCTGTGGTTATTTCACCTTGCAAGAAGTTCTCACGAATCTTAGAAATCTTCTGAGATCACAGGTATTTTCTTTTGCATGCCTTGAATAGGAACTCAATGCTGTTTTCAAACAAGGAATTTCAGAATTCAGTTTTAAAGACTGAAAAATACGGAGTTTAAATATGCAATTAGGTTGATTTCTCATGTTATATTTTACATAAATTTTGTAAGCCACTAAGGAAGAGAGTTTTTATAAATCTGTAAACATTTAGAAAAACATCTCTTTCTTACTGCCTTTAAAAAACTGTCCTTCTAACTCAGTCCAGGAAACTGAGCAGACATGATTCTCATTAACTTTAAAATTCATAGATATGTCAAAGAGATCTACAAATATCCTGGAAATGTGAAAAGCAGAATAAAAAAAGTATTTTTTTTTCAATAAATATATTTTTGGACTAGAATAAAGATCACAGAAGGAATTAGATTAAATATATCTCATTTTGACCCGTACATTTGACAGAAAAAATAAAGCTTTCATATTTTGTTCTAAAACCACATATAAAAAAATGAATCCCCTCTGATAATAAACCTGCAGACAAGTGGTCTCTCATTCTCATCTGTGATTAAAGTCACATATGACTTGTCTTCCACTGCTGCTGCTTTCAGCTCCTCCCTTTTCCACTCCTCTCTTCTCTCAAATAAAGCTCTACTCAGCTTCATTCTAACCTTGTTATAGCTATTGTATTAGAATCAAGAGCTATTTCATGCTGCTTTAGTGAAATCCAGAGTGAATTGGAACCTTCATTTGAAAACAGGAGCTGTGTAACCTTGAAAAGACAGTACCAGGCTGATTGCAAATAATCCTTCCTTGATGAAGACAGCTGCAGAGCACCCGGGAAAGTGGCACCCATACCTAGCAGAAGAAGAGAGTGTTATTCATGCCTTCTGAAGCAAAGAGCTCTAAATTCAATGCAGGTGAACACAGAAGAAAATAAAACACAATGTAGATGGAAGGACTTTGTACCTGAAGGATTCTTCAGGTACTCTGACTCTACCTAAACATTCTGGGGTGATTTGTCAGGTTGGACAGATGCACAGTTCTCCTTTGCCACCTAGCAGTTAGGTGTCTGCCTTCTGGAAACTGCTCTGAAAAAGTCATGTTTCTTACTGTACCTGTTACACATGCCAAAAGCATCTACCTGTAAATTAAGCTATTTGCACAGAAAGTGAAAACTTGTGAGGTCTCAGAATGTATTGCAATGCCTGAATCAGCTGAAGGAAGGAACTGGTTTGGGATTTGGGGAATACAGAAGGACATGCCAAGAAATGCTTTCAGGCAAAATGTGTGTGCTCCTGATTAAGAGCCAGAATTTGATATGCAATAGCCAAACCAAAAAAAAAGAAGGAAAAATTCAGTGAAGTATTTTTTAATTATGTTGGGAAAAAAAAACCAACAAACCAAAAAACCAAAATCATTCTTCATTTCCCATTTTCCCTAACTTAACAGTCCAAAGAAAAATAAATACCATTTCATAACATACACAGTGTAGGTTATGCACTGTGTAATTACTGTTCTGCTCAGGACTCAGCACCTGAACTGTGCAGAAATTCAATCCAGAATTTTGTCTGCTCCCCACCACTGAAAGACAGCCAAAGCTGCAGCAGCTGTCGCTCACCATTTCCAAATGAGCGACCTCTGACTGGAATTGCTTTTTACAGTCCACCAGACTCTTAAAAAATGCAATTTTGATGTTCAATCTAATCCCTTAACCTCACAAAACAAGATTGTTTTTATTCCATTTGTACTCCAAATAAAAATGTAGCCATGAACAGTGGTTCTGCAGAAAATCTCCATGTCAAGACAAACCTGTAACAAGATTAATATAAAAGAAACATGCTCAAAAATAGGAATCTACCTCAGAACAATGCTTGGAATGTAGCACACACAAACCTCAGCAGGAAAAAGATATTATTTAGCATATTTTCCAGTTTGTTGCTTAGAAACTGTTGCTTCATCTCACTATTGTCATTTGCAGAAAAATTTTGATTGTTCTTTTGCCATTTTGGTCATCTCATTGTAACAGCTGTATAATATAAATATTTAATGTATAAATGGGTTACAAAGAGAAAAGCACTGGATTATATTCAATGTGCTTTCATCTGTAGCCTGATCTCCCAGCCTCTTTCCTGTAACTTGGTTCCCTCCAATACGATCTAAAAATCAAATTGATTATTTTACGAGAACACAGAAAATAAATTTATTTTTATGTAACGTATAAAATCTGTAAGATCACAGTCATTATGTTCACCCTTTCTCTAAGAACTAGAAATGTTCTCCTAATGTGTCTAATCTGCTGCCCTCTGTCCAAAAGTAGTTAAAAACACATGCAAAAAGATAGAATAACAATAGAGAAAACAGAAAGTGTTGTTTTTCTTTAAATCTTCCAGCTATTTCTATGATTTTCTTACCTGGCTGCAGGACCTAATACACAATGCTTTACAAAGTTTAAGTGAATGATTTTCTGTTGTAAAAACTGGCTCTGCTATATTCATAACAGGAAGCTGGCAAGTCCAGTTCCTTGCTATGACAACCAT